TACCATTTTACCGGGCCCCAGTTACACTGAAATTTTCCGGCACTCAAATGCTTGACCTAAGTGTCAACCTGCAGTACCTACGGAGTCTTGGAGATTTTCGGGCTTCGGATTCAGCAGGTTATTTTGCTCGTTTCGATTCACCAACTCCGAATGCCAGCACACAAAACCTGTGCTACTGCTCCAGATAACTACACCGCCCAGTGCATTAAATTGCAATACATACACCGCGAAAGACCTGATTGCACAACCGCCTTTCTAGCCACCGTCCGGTCAACAGGTCGAGATAGAAACTCTCGAAAAAACCGTCAACTCTTCAGACCTAGAAAGCCCACAACCCTGGAAGGCCCCGTTAAACCCCACCAGGATTCTCTTCTTCAGGATACTTGGAGGGTCGGGGGACTTAGTAAGTAGGTAGTAAGTAGACTTAAAAGGACCCTAATTGGGGTTGTGGTACTTATAAGTCCCTAACACAACCAGTTACTAAGTCCCCCGACCCTCCAAGTGCCTGCTAGCTCCGTCATGCTTTCAGAGACAGCCGGTACAGCCGGCAAAGAAGGGCAGAGTTGGATCAAGGCCACGATACAAGCTCTTCCCTAAGGTTCACGTTGGCACATGGGGGTTTCCGAAAAGTAAGGGCTCCTTATAGTAAGGATCCTACTATTTGGGGTAGTAAATTAGGGTCCCCAATTTTCGGAAACTCCCACGTCGAAGCCCTTGAGTTTCGGGGACCTTTAAAAATAGGCTTTAGAATCTCTTTTATGACTCTCTGGGCTCCCTGAACCCCGAAGAACCTACCTTTTTAAGGAACCATGTAAGGAACTCATAACAAGGAACCCTGAAAAAAAGGAAGGCTTTGAAAAGGGTTAAAGTCAGGTTTAGTATTGAGGCGGCTTAGGAGTCTCTCGGGGTGTTTTGTGTTTAGGGTCTCGGGTTCATGTTATAGGGCTTTCAGGGTCCTTGCGACTTCAGGACTTTTCGGTGGCTGTAGCGGCAAAGGGGTTCAGGCGTTTAGGGCATAGGGTGTCCATGATTGACGGTTCAAGCTTCGGGCTATGCAGTGCACGCCGAACGTCCTTCGAAGCCACCGCTGACGAACTCCGACCCCAAATCCCGCATGAATCTTCAGGCGCACGTACCAAGTAATTCTTTGTCTAAGCCTACTTAAGTTTCGCGAACCTCGAAGAATCGAGCCTTCCAACCCCCAAGCCGCAACAATTCTCTGCCCCCAAAACCCCAATGATGACCTGGGTCGATCCAGGAACACCTCCAGCTCTCGAGCCTGCCACTCCTTGGCTGCAGGGAATGATGCCGAGAAAAAGGATCTAATGCTTCTGGTCTATGAAATGGTGCGACATAGGGGCCTTGATATATGAACAAGCGCTCCGGGGCCTGGTATAGTATGGTCGAAACGGGCCTATGGGGGGATAGCGTTGCTAACTTTCCCTGTCCTCATCGTTGAGGCGTATCCTAGATGCCTTTTGTCGCATCGGGCATTCTGGATGACAGCTGGAAGCATGCAAAGGCCCAGGCGCCGGAGCAAACTGAGAACCTACAGCCCCCAAAACAGCAATCCCCAAATCACAAACTCAACATAGCAAGCAGCCAAGCTTCAAACTCACGATGGAATGCCACACGCGGCGGCCATCTTACACCAGATGCCATTGGCAGGGGTGAAATTTAATTCGTTACAGGGCTTAAAGGTTTAGGGCAATAAGGCTCGCAGGATTTAGGGTTATGTGGGCTTAAGGTTGACGGTATCCAGGACTCAAACCTAGGGGCGTAGTAGGGTCAGTGTTTGCACGTCATGCATTAGGAAGCTGCGCTGCAAAGAATGCCCCATGCTTTTGAATTTGAACACGTAGGCCAGAGGCTTTTGAAGATGATTGCCTGCGCATGTAGGCTCGTAGAGTAAACGTTGAACCATCCCAACACAACGGCTCAGCCCCTTCTACCCTAGGCCCTAGGCGGTGGTGGGGGGTGGGCATGCGCAGAAAAGTGTGACCTCTTGCAGATCCATGAGCATTGAAAGGATGGCCAAGTCCCGCCTTTGGAAAAGTGCTTGTGAAACTCTTCAGTTTTCTTCGCACAAGTGAGGCATTGAAACGACGTCTAAAATAGGTGTAATTGACTGTAAATGTATATGCGAGGTGATATGTAAAAGTTCTCCCTCCTTTATATATATATATATATATATATATATATATATATGCATATATATACACACACGCACATGCATGTATATATATATATGTATATTTATGTATTTATACATGCATGCGGACATGCACAAGAACTTGCTGCTATGCACGTGCGTGCATACATGCATGCGCATAAATGCGCATACGAACCAACAATAGCAAACACACTAATCAATCAATCTACCTACCTACCTACCTACGTCCTTACCAACCTGCCTGCCTGCTTACCTGCCTACCTACCTCCGTGACTACCCACATGCTCGCATGATGTTATATGCTTGCATGCCTACATGCATACATACATGCATAATCAAACATGCATACACACTGACAGGAAAAGATTAATATTGAAGGCAGGGTATAGTATGTCCTGCTTACAAATGGTCTAAACTAAACGCAGTCCGAGACTGCGGTTTGCAACACACGAGGCTACGTCCAAGAATACGAGCCTAGTCTAGAATGTTATGCTGTATCTGTAATACGGATCCCTGCAGAATAGTATTCCCATTTTGTCAGGCTTCTATACTCAGGAGTACAGTTTCTCATCTTTAGCGCTTTGGGATAGGCATTGGTTGTCTACGCAATGTTGAACTAGAGCTTGCAACAACCCCTCCAAGGCGGTAAGGGCTCTATCTATTAAAGGGAGGCAGCTGTTTGCTCACTTGTCTGAAGGTTTAGGACTTAGGGCTTGTTGCACGCAAGTCCCTCCGGTCCTTTCGAAGTTCTCTGTAATGAAGATGTCCTGGAAGATCGATCTGGGAAGGTCTCATATATGTAATTAGAAGAGAGTTCCTTTGAAGGGGTCAAATTTGGTTACCATAAGGGTACTAAAATGTAAGGGCCTTGATAATTAGAATGAGGTTGTGGGGGTATCTTATCTTATACTTTACTTATTATAAAATGGGACCCCCCCAAATAGTATTGGTAATTATTGAGGTCCCTGTATTAACCTTTGGCTGATCCGGGGCTCAAAGAGGGATTGGAATGGATGTGTTCCACATAGGGTCGGTCGCGCCGTTGATCCATGTATCAACCGTTCTGGTTTCGTCAATCTGCTCCTTCCGGAGATCCGTCTCTGCATTTTCCACACACTGTAGGAAATGCGCAGCTGGAATTACTCTTCGTATCACTTACACACAAGTTTTGTGGTGTTTAACCTTTAGTGCAGGATTCCACCTTATGAACCCCAAGCAAAATTGGAATGAACTCCTCACCTCGACTGAACCGGCATATGCTCCCCAAAGCTACAAACCTTAAGTGCTTGATACCAATGCTGCGTCCGAACCACCCCGGACATGCTCATCCCAAATCATGGTCATGCTCTTCGGCCACCGTGTGGCAGCTAAAAGCCATTCCTGAAGCACACGCGAGTACTGCTCTACACAAGAAAAATTGTAATTACTGCCAGTACAGTGTTTACTTATTGGTGGCCTGATTGGTGTTCCTATTCATATCACACAACATGCTTCCGGGCTTCGCAATCTTCGATTGCGGGCCAGGGTTTGTGCAGCAGTGTTTTACGGCGCTGAGTCTTCACAGCTTCGGATAAGAAGCTTCCGGCTTCGAGATCTTAGTGCCCAGGCAGTCTGACCCGTTGAACCCCGAACCTCAACCTGAAATCATCAACGATAAGATGGTTAGCGCGTGTGTCTTGAGCTGGAGTCTCAACCCTGAACAACCTTTAACCCACAAATCGACAGGGAAAATACTGTCACGTCGGCGTATGAGCTCTAAAGCTCTATCGAGCAAAAAAGAGGATAGGGACTCTAGCGGCAGGTCGCGCTGCATATCCAAAAGCACAGCGGTTGTTCCAGCGCCGATGCAGGGTTTATAAACTTGCAAAATGACGATACGCAGAGTCACCACTCCTATTAATTAACCGAACATCTAACACCCCCCCTTAAACCCCAAAACCAAATTGTCATGTCCCACAGCCTCCACGACCCCTTTGTAGTCCTGGCCAGGCAGTCATCATGGACAGGCGCGATAACCCACAACCGTCGTCTACCCACAAGCAGGCCAACAGCTTCACGTAAGTCCAAATCATTCAAAACGCTGGCTTGCAAAAGTCTGTGCTCAGGGTAAGCAGGGTGCATCGAAAATTTAATTGAACAGGCTCTAAGAGGAGTCAGATGGAGTCAGAATAGTCTTCAAGGTTGGTTGAGGACTAGCCCGGGCATTGGTGTGCCTCAGGTCAAAAGCCAAAAACCATTGACCGTCGTTGCTTGCAGTGCTTGGTAGGAACATAATATAGGGGCCTTAATGATTAGAATAGGGTTTTGGGGACCAGTCTACTATAATTATAACAAGGAACCCTCAAAATAGTGGGGGTTATTCTTGAGGCCCCTACAGAACATCCGGCAAGCAGGGGCCTGACCCTTTCATCAGGCAGCCCTCGGGCTGAAATTGAAAGCACCAGCACCTGGAACCAAGAAACCTAAGCTACTCTCTCTCTCTCTCTCTCCCTCTCTCATAGGGGACCCTAATGATAATATAGTACCCTAAATAGTAGGATCTTTATTATAAGGACACCAAAATAAGGGCTCTCTCTCTCTCTCTCGCGGACTCAGAGATCCAGGATTTGAGCAGGCACCGAAATAACGACTACAGGGACTACAGGGACTACAGGGAAGAGACTCGATCAATCCAATCCTGCGGAACCAGTTCCAACATGAAGAGCGGCTCTTCAAAGCTATATACTGGAAGCACACGGATCGCATGCTCGTGGGATTTTGAGCCTCAGGTGCAGCCCACATTCGTGGAGCTGTGTACGTCGACAGTCAGCTCTACAAGGCGTTTCAATCAGTCTCGTGCGGGACGAGGCAGATAGAGACCACTGAGTCCCATCCATGCGGCAACTTGCTTCAAGGCCCGCCAAGGCGAGTGTACCTCTGCAGTACCGTTGGAAGCCAGTGGAGGCGGATCGAAGTCGAGCCACCATCGGTCAGTCAGTGCTCTATGCAGGAAAGTGACAGAAGACAGCGACGACAGGGCACGCGCAGAGCTGGCTGCATCCACGGGGCTTGAGATCATCGACCTTGAGTCGTCCTGGTACAGGCCGATGCAGTCGGCGATTGGTCTTTCAAACTCCTCCAGGAAGGAGAGCACATAATCCAACACCTCTGCGGTTTCTCCGTATTCGGGCTCCTCTTAGAAAGGGTGCATCTATTCAGGATCCTTCTATTTCGTGTCTGGTTCACAATCCCCTACACAGACATTTGCCAAATTCGCGCCTCAGCATCTAGTGCGGCTTGCCTGTGCATATGGATTGCCCAGAAAAGTCGCCCTTCGAGCTCCGCTTTGCAGAGCTGCCTGCGTAGAAAAACCTGGGTCTTCTCAAAATGATGGGAATTTTGGCTTCTTCTCAGTGCGAGATCAAATTTCGGGCACTCTGAATGGCTTCCTCTGCAGAATACATTTGGCATAATTTCAATGAAATCAAGTTAGCATTTTTTGTATGAAAAAGGGCCATACCAAAACAGTCAATTGCCATTTCTTAGGTATGTAGACTTTATTCCAATGTATTCTCGGTACCGCAACACTGCACATGAACAGCGAAGTGGTGCAGATGCAGCGGACAACCCTTCTCTTTTAACACTGAGCGGGGCCTGTGATTCGAGTGAGAACATATCCACAATCTGGAATCAAATCGTCGAACACAGCTGGGTGCACACAACCCAGCTGAAGCACACATGTTCGTAAGCATGAGGTGGCATCCACACCGAAGCTCACTCACCTACCCCGGGCGGGCGGGCGGGACAAAATTCGAGCTGCACACATCCAAAACTGCGGAAATGCAGCTCGCATGTGTTGCCTCAAGTGCACACATGCACATTCACAGAATACTAGGAATAAGGTGCTGTCTCGCAAGCGAGAAGGCTTACTTATTCCAATGTATTCTCGGTACCGCAACACTGCACATGAACAGCGAAGTGGTGCAGATGCAGCGGACAACCCTTCTCTTTTAACACTGAGCGGGGCCTGTGATTCGAGTGAGAACATATCCACAATCTGGAATCAAATCGTCGAACACAGCTGGGTGCACACAACCCAGCTGAAGCACACATGTTCGTAAGCATGAGGTGGCATCCACACCGAAGCTCACTCACCTACCCCACTCTAGAGTGACGGAGGTTAGGCGAGAGTAAAAACACTCCGCGACAAGTTGGAGTAGGCCACACGCGCAAGCTCTCCATCAAGTTGACGAACCTTGGGTAACATGTCCGATTCCTTTCCCCTGCTGGGAGCATCTGCAACATTGCTACACGATGGTACGCGCGCACACCAAGGTAAGATCATGCTTCGCTCGCATGCAGTAGCAAATGCATGACATATCCTGGTAATGGCCCAAGACTTGGAGTAACCCTTAATCAGGGAAAAGCGCAACCCCTCATTATCAATGTATGCCACCACCTCAGCTGAGCTTAAATGCTCGCGCCACACGTCGAAAGCCACCGCTACTGCAGCAGTCTCTAGCTCGCCGATGCCGGTCTCGGCTCCGGGTGGTAGCAGAGGCATGACATCATCGGATGCTAATGGAAGGCAAAACCAACTACACAGCGAACCCTGCGGAGAGATTAGAACCCCACCTAAACCCCCGGAGAAGTCAGGCTCAAAGGCAGCGTCGGTAAAGACGAACCACGGCAACCCTAAGGACCTAGCAATCCTACGAGGGGTGCCCTCCCGAATCCTAAGATCGAGGAAGTCAAGGGCCATACGAGTGTCACCATCAATCCTCGCCTCGAATGGCCAGCGATGCACATGATTGCTGATTAGCTTTAGGGCAAGCTGACCAGCGCGCCCCATCACCTGGGCATTGGCGAAAGCGAGTTTGCCCCTGAGCTCCAACCCTTGCTTGTAGGAGAGCTCTCCCCGGTCCAGCACAGCAGATATCAGGTTGGATACGTCATCCTTCCTCTTGACTGTGTTGTCTACGCTAATCACACCATGTTCCGTCTCCGTCAAGTCGAAAGATACACCCAACGCAGATACATGCCGTGAAAACACGTCGGCTTTCGGTCCTTCTGAGTCGAAGACCCAGCCCAACAATTTGAACAAGAGTTCCATGGTATCTCCCGTGTTGTCTGCCAAATCGTCAGGTGAAGCCACAATGAAGTCATCATAGTAGGATGTGGTGGGTATCAACAGACACTTAGTGGCCAACCATTGTATGCACCTAGAGCATCGGATAAAGCCGTTGACAGATGCGCGGGCCCCGAAGGGCAGGTACACCTGTGTGAAGAGCATGGTCTTCTTGGCGTGTGGGTTATACACTGCCAGCACAGCGAAGTTTCGTGAAGCTAGGGACACACATAACTGCCGATAAGCGGCAGTCAAATCAAATGAGCGCCCCATGAGCTTGGAGCAACGCTTGTTTTTGGCGAGGCCCGAACACAAGTTGCTGAACATGCAAGCGGCGACATCCACTGTGTCAACAGTTGGTTGTTCCAGGGTCGTGACGCATGCGTTAACCCCACTTCGCGAGTAATCGTCTATAGGACGGAGCTTCCCGCCCTGGCCCTGAACCAGAGGGAAGCGGTGGGAGACGACATCTGTATCCCCTAGCTCATCCCAATCGTATGGCCCTATGAGCCACCCACGCTCAACCTCTTCAAGCGTTTTGTTCCATAAACGAAGGTCTTGCTCTGCATCGCCTGAAGATCCAAGTGACAATTTGAGGGCCTCCCTGGCTCGCACTGTTGTGGAGACAAGGTCGTCTGGGTGCATGGTGGCCGGTGTGATCTTTCCGGGAAGCACGTTGGACTCCGGTGCCCGGCCCACCAGATCAAACCCTGCACGCAAATCCGAAGCCAAGTTGATGTCCCCGTACCCTTCCGCCGCAATGATTTCATCAAGCAGTTGCAACCTTTTGCACGACATGACAGCGGCCATATGCGGGTCGGGGATATCCCAAGCCGGATCTGGGTCGAGTCCTATCTCTTTGGCACGCTGTGTCCATTTGCGCAGCCAGCGGCTGCGCCTCTTGATAACAGCTTGCGGGGAAGCTCGCGAAAGCATGTCCACACACCACGAAAGATGTTCGGGCATGGCTCCTGCAACGGCACGTGGGTGGCCTGCGTCCACTGCTGCACGTATGAACTCAGCGTCTGTGTGAGGTAGCCCAAACGTAAGGTCATGGGGCAGCTGTGATGGAGGGGATGTGGCGTCTACAGACGGTGCCAAACCGCAATCACCCGGGGATACAGCAGTGTCAACAAGCGGCGCTACCGGGTGTCCAGGTAATGGAAAGCCCAGCTCAAGCAGGTAGGTAACATCGTCCACTGGTAACTGGTCCAACCTGTCAGGACTAAACCCTATGAGGACAATCCTAGAACCCGACCACGGGAGGGTGCAGTGAAGGCCATGCGCGTCAAAGGCGACTGGGCCCTTCGAGACCTCAAGTAGTTTGCCCGGCAGCCGGCCTTCCGGTGTGGTGCGCACATCACTCCCTGCTTCATCGGCAAGCCAGATATCCCCCTCGCTGAATGCGGTTAGCGGGAGTACATAATTCAAGGAGCCAGCAAGGTTGTTTCGATCCCGGTGAAAAGGTGTGCATGTGTTCGAATAAATGGCAATGCACGAAAATCTGGCCTGTGGCAACCGAGACCTCAGGAGGCGCACAGCAGCCTTCACAGAGGAAGGAAAAATCCTAGTGTTCTTGCGTAAGCCGCACAATGTACCCTGGCAAAAAGCACCTGCTGACCAAGCTTTCTCCCTGGCATCCTTTACGCCACGGGTAGGAACCTCATGGGGGAGGGTTTCAAAAATGTTGAGAATGCCCTCTTCGCAAATGGGGTTCGGCAAGGTTCTCGCACGGTGCTCTGCCTCGGATGAGACTACAGTGTTCGGCACATGCGACCCCGACCCAGACTTATACCTACGGGTATCAGGCAGCTCTGACACACGTGGCCGTTTAGCACTCTTGACATCACCGGAAAGCTCACGCGAAGCGCCTAAACCCGAAAGTCCAAGAGCAGCACCACCTAAACCCGATGAGGGAAGCGCGGGCGAAGGGACCCGGGGCTTAGGTACCACTCGGTGTTCCAAAGAATCCTGCTGTGGGCACACCACGCCGTTGCTGCAAGACTGCGCGTCGTGCAAGACAGATGGCTCGCCGCACACAACGGAAGGCGGTCCTGGAAGTGAATTGCCACCCACGGCGGGCGGTGGAACTCGAGGCAATGCAGTGACTGCACAATGAGGTTCGATGCAAACGTTCCCACCACCCCTCTGGAGCACGAGAGCATCGGACGGGAGTTGGGACTTGCTTACCAGCTTGGAGCCCTTAGGAATGCAAAGCGAGTCCACATGCATGTCCTGCAACAAGCGATTCTTGGGGCACAGTGGAGGTACGGTGTGCATTTGCACACTCGCAAAGCCCTTGAACTCAGGAACCGGGTTGGGAGCATGTTTGCGAGGTTGGGAACCAAGAGAAATCTGCGCAGCTGCATGCGTTGGCATAGCACCCGGTTGAACCTTGAGGACAGCAAACATAGCCTGAGCAACAGCGCTGTAGAAACGTTTCAAGACTACATCAGATGATGCCACGGTACATGTCGTGCAACCTAGCTCATGCACCTTCACGAAGGCGGATGGTACCGAAGAAGCCAAACGAATGGAGCCCGACTTCGAGGCACCGAAGGGCCGCAGCTGCACATCAACAGCATTCGAGAGATGTGATTTCCCCAAGTGTGTATCCCAGAAACTCGAGCGAGCTGGCGCTTCAATGGTCCAAGGTGTGTCTGTATCCGAGCAGTGTTTGACAAGATTCCTCACAATGGTTAGGCAACGCTCAGTGTCAGCAGAAGGAAAAGAATGGCGACCATGTGGAAACAAAGATTTCGGGCAGCGAATGTGAACCCAAACACAGGAAGGCTCACGAACCCAGGAGGCGCAAAGTGCATGGCCCCCCTCACTAAGAACATCAATGGGAATTATCGGTGCCGTGGCGGCCTGCGAACACCCCGAGCCTATGGCGAAGGAGTTTGGCAACTTCTGTCGAAGACAACCGCACAAGCTAGCCCGGCGAGCAAAAACTTCCATGCAGAAGGATGAGGGGTCGCACCCCACATCGTGGCTACCCTTAGCAATCTGAGGTACAGTCGGCAGCGAACGGTCCTCAGGCACATGGTGGGCGACAATGTCGCCCGTGCACAGTCACTCCGAGTCCTTGGAGTTATCATGATCAGACATCGGATGGGCTTTGTAGCACCCCGGCTTACAGCACACATGCAGAAACTTGCATTTGGATCCAGCTTTGCACTTGTTCAAATTGTAATTGAAGCATATGGGTTTATTCTGGGGCGTGCGCGCATGCATACCCCTGAGGGCCTCAGGGACAGGGTCACGAGTGACTTTGGTTTTCTTGTCTGGGCTTGCATCTTCCTCCTGTCCCTGCCGGCGCTTCTTTGTCTTGCCTGGACCCTTACCGCCCCCCTTGCCCCTGTGAGGGGCAGGCTGCACAAAATACATCACCTCGGAACTGTGCTCAAGTAGCCTGAACTGGGCATCTAAGGGCAATGAGCCGTCGGGTCTAGCCTTGAGTGACTGCGCCATTGCACGCCCTTGCAAGCACCATGAAGGCTTGACGATCTGCCCTCAACACTTGTGCACGCGTCACCCTCTGAAACTCAGGAGGGGGATCCAATGACAACACGAGGAAGAGTCTATCAACCCAGCGTTGCACAACCGAGAATGTGGCCAGGCCTACAAGATCGAATGCCAGTGCACGCCTAATCATGGCTTGATAAAGCTGCAAATCCGTGTCGATGGACATAGCCGCAATGGCTTCCTCGTCCTTGACGATGAGGCCAGCTTTGTTTGCATCCAGTTGAAGGGCTTTGGGTGGCTTTGCGTTACACAGTTCAGCATCCCGGGTGATGCACTCAGCCGGACTGATATACTTCAGCTCATCCTGCTCACGCATGGTAGCCAGCCTATCGTACAGACAATGGGCAACGGCAAGGGGGCCTTCCAGACATAGACCTGCAAGACGGGTCTTCTGCTGTTCCAAGCGCAAAGTTCTCTCAGACGAAGGAAGTTTCTTGGGCCCTTCACCTTCCTGCACTGTTGCACGCAACTCTGCCACTGTGAATGTCTGTGCCTCAAAGATGAGCTGCTTCAGAGCAGAATTATCCCCTATGGAAATGTGAGCCCCAGGACGCAGCTTGGTGGTGAAAGCCTCTAGGTCCTCTGCACTAGGAGGTGTGCCCGGTAAGGACACTGCATAGCTGAGCTTTCCCAATGTATCAACTGCCGCCGCCTTCAGAGCATCTACCCATGGTTGCGAAAGCCCTGCCGTTTCGCATCGACGAGCAAACGCGGCAGTAGAAGACAGGACGGATACCGCAGCCATCAGCGACAGAAGCTACCAGACTAGACACAGAGCAAAAGCAAATGTCCTAACATGCGACATGTACAGTTCAATTGCAACATCCCTAAGAGCCCACACTGCACACAGTGTACAGACACAGATGGATCACACATGTTGCGCCGAGGTCTTCGGCGAATCCGTCTGCATTCAGATCGCATGAGATTGGTGTACATCCACCAACTCACGAAGAAAGAGGATGCCTGACAACATATTTTCCAGACGCACCGTGTTGTCATGCGACGTTCTAGACATCGCTTTTCCAGCAAGCCGTACATTTCGGCCATCGAAGATACGCTCCGGGAAGGTACCAGTAACTGGGTCCAGCCTGTCGGCCACACCTGGTTCTCCGCTCGGACTCTAGACCACGGACGCGATGCAACATCTTAGACCTAGCATGCTGCCAACACGGCTCATCGATCTCAAACCCTTGACTCGGTACAACTCTCCGTATGGTCTGCTCTTCGATCTCGCTAGCCTCACCACTGCTATCGGAAGAAGACGAGGAGCTGTCTGAAGAGGCACGAATGCCCACCTGAGAGCCATCATCGTCGCTCAGGTTGATCACTTCGGGAAGGTGGGCTAAGCGGTCTGCACTGAAGAAGTCACGACCTTCTTCCCCCTCTGCTTCGAATGCACCGTGAAGTGAAGAAGGGCTTGCATCCCGAACAGCCTCCCCATGATGTGCATGTTGTTCCGCGAACGAGGCTGCTTCATGTATGGGCTCCTCCGGCGGGTTGTGGAAAGTGGTCGTACCTGCTGATGAATCGAACCAGCCACCAAAGGCTCCCGAAACTTCGCCCACAGGCGGTAACTCCGCATCCGCAGCTGAAATTAGCCAACCCGATCGTGTGGTGTCGGGCTTGAACAGCCCTTTCCTGATCTGAGAGAGCATCGCTCGATAGGCCCGCAGTGGACCACTAAGCAACTCGCGGTTGTAGCAAGCCAGGGAACTCGAGCCTGTCGCATGATGCCCCAGCAAGAGCCCATCCCTCTCACTGAAGCCTCGTTTGCCCACCCACTCGAGGGTTGTAGCTTTGAGAACGTGGGAAGTCCTCCTCGCTTCGCCCTGGAGATTCAAGACATTGCACAGCATCACCCCCGCCTCCGATGAGCTGCACCTGCGCCTGGAGAGGCTGCCATCAGCAGCCGGAGCGCGGACCACAGGGCCAAAGGGCTTACACTCCCAGTCAATGCCCAAAGCAATCCCCGCATCCCACCAAGCAAGAGGCCAAGCTGCATCCGTCACCCCCGGAAAAGGAGCCACAAGAGGCATAGCCCTCAGCTTAGTCCTGACCGTATGGCTTGTCTTATGGTCCCGCGTTCTGGCCTCAATGAAGCCGGAGCACTCTCGCTCATCGTCAAAGTCAATCCAAATCGAATCGACATTTTTAAGATCTGACCAACGCGATCGGCTGAAAAGAGCAAATAGAAGCCCGCCCAGAATGTAACAATCCATATGGCAAAGCGTACGGCCGGCAACCAGCCGTTCCAACTTCGCCACCTGTTCAACAAGGAGCGCAATTTGCTGCTTCACTTCAGCCGCTTCGCCCGCCAGTCTACGTGCTCGCCCTTGAAGCCTCCTATCCTCGAGAACTTCAGAATCAAAGGGGATCGCCATGACATGCTGAGAGAACCGTATGGCTTCAAAGAAGCCATTCACAGCACTCGCCGATCT